ACTGCGGATACACAACCAAGTTCAAGATTACTTGCACTTGCGTATCAGCTTACTCAGAAAAAGGACTTCAAATGGCTTCCATGGAAGTTTCGCATGTCGATGTCTCGTTCAGAAGACATGGCCATGAGTAGGGCATCCAAAGCCCCGCGCTTAGAAAACCTGCAACTCCATCAGCTTTTGATTGATGAAGTCTCCTGCGAGCAATGCTAGCAAAGGCCAAAAAGGTCCCAAAGGTGGTTCGAAAGGTGCCAAGTCCTCCAAGGGTGGATCCAAATCAGGGGTCCGATGGCTTTCGGAGATTTGGCGGGGCTCTCAGAAAAAGACCCTTTGCATGCGATGCCAATCAGGCAAATGCTCCAACAAAGACTGCAGATACGAACATGCTTGTGGTTATCCCAAACCTGATGGTACAGCGTGCGGTGCCAACCATGCAGCGATCGACCATGATAAAACACCCCACTGACTCGCGGAAACAGCAACTATGACACGGGCAGCAGTTTCATCACCTCCGGTAGTCCAAGACTCAGAGCTTCTTCCACAAAGTGGTTGTGTAGTAGTTGAGGAGGAGTTTCACCCAGTGTCACCTATGTTTCATCCCACAGCCAGGGTCGACCAGGCAGTATCACCGGCCATTTTGGCCCCTTTGCCAGCAGTTTCAGAGTTGGAGACGAAGCCCAACAAGCCGACAGAGCCTCAGCCAGACCCTCAACAAGGGCAGCCTGACCATCAAATGGAGCATGATCATATGGTTATTTCAGGTTTGCATTCTTCAATGACGAATTTTTCCCAAGAATTATTAACCCCATGGAGTTGTCAAGGCTCAAAGATATTTTTGGATATTTGCAGTGGAGTTGATGCCCCACTGTCATGTGCAGTTTCGAGATTGGGGTTACCAGCATTGCATATTGACCTACTTGTGGACTCACAAATGGATTTACTGGATGATTCCTTTTACCAACAACTCCTGCGTCTCTGTGGCTCGGGAGTAGTGGGTTACTCAGCAGCTTCTCCTTCCTGTACGGAATATAGCTTGCTCAAACTAAGACCAGGCGGCCCCAAGCCCATTAGAACGCCTGAAATGCTGAGTGGAGTCCCTAACCTAACTCCAGAAGAGACGCAACGACTACAGGATAGTGCTACACTACTCGATCGCTGTGTCAACTCAGTTTCAGTCACTTATTCTTCGGGTGGGCATGGACCAGCATGGACACGTTGAGCAACCTTCTGGAGCGATGAGTTGGAGTGAAGATTGCACACAAGAATGGATTCGACTGACTGGCTGTGCACTTATTCTCTTAGCAGCTTGTGCATTTAACTGGAATATCATGAAGACATGGTTTTTTGCTTCTTCATTTCAGCCGCTGGCAGATTTGGCAGCCACATGCAATCATGGACCCAATGCCCATCCATCAATTGCAGGTGTGAAAGACGAACATGGAGTATATTTGAGCAAAAGATCAGCGGCCTATCCGCAGGCTCTTGCAGAGGCCTTTGCGACCAAAATTGCAGTGCTTCTCACTCCATTGGATAACCCAAATTCCTGGCCAAACGTTTTCGAATTATTTCCCATCAAGAAGATTTTTCAAAACCCGAAAGGCTTTGTTGACGGGGGAGGCTTGCTTTCGACACCAGACTGGTCCAAACCACCAGACCATTCCCCCAAATTGGCATAAAATGATTGTTTCCCATTTTTTGCAAAAGAAAACAGACCATCCTTTTTCAGAAGGGATCATTAACGATTTTCGAAAATCTCTCGACTCATTGCTGCTGCTGACAACCCCATTGGACTGGCAAGTTCGAGCTAACCAGCCCTTGTGTCTCCATGCACTTTCAGCGCTGAGTCAATACATGAAGGATCCGGATGTTCATTTATTTCAAGAACTGATTGCAGGTGTGTCTACAGGTTACAATGATGATATTCGCCCTTCCCAGGTTTTTGCCCCCAAGCCGGACAAAGAAGACACAGTGGCGCCTGACCTGTCAGTACATTTGACAAATTGGAAAAGTGCGGAAGACCATCCTGAGGTCACCCAGCAACTGGTTGAAGAGGAAATTTCAAAGGGCTGGCTCATTTGTTTTGATGGAAGTGTTGAAGACGCCAAACAACGTTGGCCGCATGGTGTAGCCATAGGCAAACTTGGGGTTGCGATTTCTGATTCACGCCCACCTCGCCTAGTGGTGGATTATACTGTATGCGGTACTAACCCCAATTGCAATATCCAAGAACATCAACAACTTCCAAGCGCCAAAGAAGTGCAGCGTTGTTACCCTTTGAGAGAACATTCAGAGGAGCTTGGCGCCTTAGGATTGGATGCTAATTCAGCACACAAACTCTGCGTCATTAAGGAAGAACATCGCGGACTGGTGGGATTCAGTTTAAACAACAAACTGTATTTTATCGAGTTTGTCCATTCGGAGCAAAATTTTCAGCATTCTGGTGGGGACGCTTGGGAGCTTTCTGGACAAGGCTCCTTCACCTTGTGATATATGTGGCCCACTCTTTATTTCTGTTTGTGGATGATTAGCTTTTAATTCAACGTATGGACATTCTTCCTGTCACTGCGACTCTGGTGACGCTATTTATTCAAGCTTTTCGACTTCCCATCAGCTGGCACAAAGCGGAGTTGGACCGTGAGGTCAGCTGGATTGGCTGGAATCTCAATTTTTCGACGGGTATCATCAGATTGCAACTGGCCAAACGAGACAAATTACTGAAACTCATTGCGGAATTGCTACAGCGCCCCAAGACCTCCAAGAAGCAAATTGAGAAATTTGTGGGTTTGCTACTTTGGGTAACGCAAATTTTTCCAGTAATGAGAGCTTTTGTTCATCACCTTTATGCTGACTTGTACAAGGCCCCAGCCACTCTTTTCTCGGTGGACCCTGGATACTGGTTAACCACAATAGCCTGCTTGTCAGACAGCCTTCAATTTACGATCAGACCAGTTGGTACAGCAATTCCCATTGGAGGCAAGCTTTTATCAGTTCGCCATCAACCTGTTCAATCTCTTGAAGATGTCAGAAACTGCCGTTTATCCGACAGACGGATTTGGCTGAGAATCTTGGATCCGACCTCCAATAAAAGATCTCTGAGTTCCAGTTCCCAACGGATCCTGCTAATGTACCAAGAATGGCTTAAGCACTCAACACCATTTATTTCAATGAATCCAAAATTGCCATGGGCGGGAGAAGCTGCAGCCGATGCATGTGCCCATGGAAATAGCTGCCAAGTTGGAGGTTTCTTACGTTTCTCCAATGGAGATATGCGATGGTTCAGTGAACAATGGACATCAGCCGATTTTCTGGCCCTGGACATCCCAGTCCATTCAGATATGCAGAAGGACATCAGCTCCTATGAAACATTTGCACAATTCTGTTTACTGTATTCCCTATGCTATTTTCTTCCCGGCCAGCGTTTCTCCATCACACTGAAAAGCCTGAGTGACAACACGGCTGCTGAAGCCAATTCAAATTTTTTATTCACCACCAAATCTCCTCTGTGCTACTTTGTGGAAAGATTATGTATGCTAATTTCGACAGTTCATATGCTGAACTTGATGTCAGCCATATAGCGGGGCATTCGAACGACCTCGCTGACAGAATTTCCCGCCTGCCATTGGAGGATCCCTTGCCTCCCGATTTGAAAGCATCTGAACGCATCCGTTTGCCCTTATCCGAGCTTTGGTTTCCATTTCACAAGCCGTTTAATGTACTTGTTCATTGTGTTTTGCAAGGAACTTCTTTGTGTTTCTATTCCATTTTGGCTCAAGGACTTTCATTTGTGCGTATACATTTTTCGTTTTTGTCTGCTCAGCCAACAGTTTTCTTTTGGACATCTGTAGCAGGCATTGACATTGATCAGTTGCGTTTTTCCTGTCATGCAGATATTTTCAGAGTTTCATGTGTTTTCTGTTTGATTCACAGACACCGGGCGGTCCCGGGCGGCATGGACGGAGCGACGGTCTCGGTGTTATCACTAGAACAGTTGATCACTGCACTTCTCCTCATTGTCAACGAGTTGTGCCATCGATTTCGTATCCCTTTATCTTCAGCATCATCTGTACCATTACAAACTACACCTGATTTGGAAAATCCTTCAGGGTCACCCATCCCCGAACGTGGATCGTGTGGTGCAAAGTGTCGCTGGTGTGATTTACCCTGTGGACGTGCAAAGCCTGGTCATACGGGGCATAGTTGCTATACACATCGGCATTGGCGTGATGGATAATTCCATGGATGGTTGGTCATTGGTACAGAGTGTTGAGGGTTCATGGGACACGAGTTCAGTGATTTCACCGCCGTTGCAATCCAGGCCGAAATCTGCTCCATTGCAGCGTGCACCTCTACATCAAGGTCCTCGCCTGGTGTCTCCATTCCAAGTGTCTGCATTGCATCCGGTGGTCACGAGCGCTATGGGGGGCTCGGGACAGTCTTCAGCTCAGCGACATCCAGGTATTTTGAGGGTTTCCGATTTAAACCAGGGGGGTAATGTTCCTCCCCCCCAACCATTTCCTGTTGATTCCATTCGCATTGTACCTGGGGTTACCCCTTTGCAAATTCCCCCACAGAATTTACCTGTGATTCGGAGCTGGACGACGTTGCAACAGAGAGTTGCACTACCTCAGCCTCAAGGATGCTTGGGTTATTCAGAGTCAGTACCAGTTGATTTTGTGCCTAATCGGCCCTCTCCAGCGTTACTGCATCCTCCCAGACGTCACCCAGGGGCTATTAGCAGAGTTCGTTTTTCCAGTGCTTCACCGGTGCTCTGTCAGATGTGGTTCGAATTGTTATCACAGCTGGGCCAACTATCCAGAATTTGGCAAGAGACGAGTATGTCGCAGCATCAACGTATGCATTTGAACCGAATTTTGGACAATGTGGCACCGGGCACAGCTATGAAGTATATTTCCAGTTGCAAGTCCTTTTTCAAGACCTGCAAAGCGTTACAGGTGGATTTGGTATCCATTACTGAGGTTCAATTGGCAGACATTTTAATCACAATGTCACTGTCGAGATCTACATCTCATGGCAGTAGTTCTTGCAGTTCGGTCATCAAAGCGCTTCGATGGCTGTTGAAATCAGCAGAGGTCGGATGTTTACAGGTGGTGCATTCAGTACTTATTGGAACCTTTCTGAACCAAAAGGTGCCCAGGGACAGGAAACAAGCACCTCCTCTGCCTCTGTGGGCATTTGTGCAGTGGGAGCGTCGTGTGCTCATGTCCAACTGCACAGTATTAGAAATCATTCTACTGGGTACATTTTTATTGATGGCATGGGGATCCCTTCGTTTTTCCGACGCGCAAAGGTTAGACCTCCAAAAGATCATCTATCACGATGGTACCATGCGAGGGGTGATATGGCGCTCCAAGACAGCAGTCAGCGGCATGCCCCTAGCAGTGGCGGCGGAGGGTTTCCTCAGCAAAGGCTCCCACAACTGGTTGTGGAAGTTCTTGACGGTTTTAGATACGGTATTGGCCAAATCAGGCCTCTCCGATGTTGATTTTCTTCTTCCACTGATGGATGAGGATGGACCAGTTTATCCATTGCAACCGATGGATTATGCTACAGCGTTATTTTACCTACGGAAATTTTTGGGTTGCCCCTGGAGTCAACGACCAGACCCCTTGCAGCACTTGAAGTTGAACTTCACGTTACACTCCCTCAAAGCGACGCTATTGTCGTGGGGACCACAGCTGCATGAGAAGGTTACCCCTGAACAGCGTTTGTCTCAGGGACACCATTCGGATCCCAATAGCAGTTTGGACACATACTCACGTGACGTGGTGTGGACGTCCTTGACATATCAGCGCAAGATGATACAAGAGGTTCAGGGTGGATGGCGTCCAGCCATTGCACAGCATCGGGGGAGTCAGGCTCCTATGGTCGAACCCAAGGTTGTTTTGGAGAAATTTGTTAAATCTCTCCCTCAGTTTGATTTTCAGTGGTTTCAATTCAATGAGTCATCTGAGACACAACCTCCTGATTTTTTGGAGTCCTCAACCAGCAGTTCTGAGAGTTCATCGGATTCATCGTCGGATGACGAGGTTAGGGAGCCTCGACCCAAGACTTCCAAGGTGGACGTTGTACCTTTGGACGTCGATGAAGTCCTGGTGGGACGATATCGGGCAGTTGTTCATGCATTAGTGCGTGCCGGCGATGATGAAGATTGGCGTCCTCGGTGGCAAGGACAGCCTCTCAAACCTGCCTGTGGTAGGCAAATGCGTGGTGTGGAAGCCGAGATCTTGGATAGACTCGATTCCACTATGCCGTTCTGCCAGCATGCAGCGTGCAGGAAGGTTTGGCACAATTGTCAGCTCCTGCAAGGATCTGGATAGGTCCCATTCCAAGCGGTATGAAAAATTTTGCGCTTGGAGTTGTTTCCAACGGGTCGGTGACCTGTTAGGTGCAGTCGGTTTTCCCTGGTAGGGTTTACCGAGTTGTTCATGTTGTGTACGTTTTGAATTTTATTTTTTTCTTCCCTCTTTTTACTCGGGGAGGGATTCAGATTCTTTTTACAATAGGGGATGGTATCCCCTAACATGTCAACGGTGTTGGCATCACATTTCAACCGGTGGTTGAAGGGTTACTCACGGTGTGAGTTGAAATGACAGGTTGTCATGTTATATTCAACCGGTGGTTGACTATAGACTCACGGTGTGAGTATCACAATGACCGGTGGTCATTCAGCGTCTCAACCGGTGGTTGAGGTTATTAGCTCACGGTGTGAGCCTTAAACTGACCGGTGGTCAATTCATCGTTTTTTCAACCGGTGGTTGAAGTTGCACTCACGGTGTGAGTGACGTGACATATTGTCATGGTTGCCGTCGGTGATGGCTCCAGTGAACCCGGTGGGTTAAAAATCAGTTGTGCGACTCACGCACGGAGTCTAGGGGCTTAGCTATGGCGTTTCCACCCCTTCAATTTTGGTCAATTATTCATTGGCGCTGTCACGATTTTGTTTTCTTTCAATTTTCTATTTTTCCCCCAACATATGGGATATTTTTTGGGGTTCGTTGATCCTACGCGATTTTCCCCTTCGTTTACGTGGTGGTGCCATGGCGTCTGACAACTTGGAAGATGTTCTGATACAGAGTGGGGTGGACTCGGCCCTCACGAGCTCACTCATGATGGAGGGGTGGACCTGTCAATCGTTTCGCATGGCAGCAGCTGACATTCAAGGATTTGAAGACGTTCTCCAGGAATGGTCATCTTCTACTCCTTTGTCGGTATTCCAAAAGGCTTGCCTCCGCACGGCATTTCAGTCACTCCAACCTCAACAAGGACCCAGTGCATCGGCTCTCTCAACCCCGACATTGAGCACTACCACGCCAGCAGGGTCTTGGGCAGAAGCCTTTCCTCCCAAATTGGAGAATGCCGTGTTGCAGGCGATGAAACAAAAATTCATGGCCAACTATCCATCCGAGTTGATCCATGCGGACCTTTTTCCATCGACCAGATTAGTGAGCCTGGTTCATGACCAGCTCTCCAAGAAGGTTTGGAAGTGGGTGCCATGGAAGTATCGCATCTCGCTCACCAGGTCAGAAGAGATCTCTAGCAATCGAGCTCAGAAGATGCCAAAAATTGACCACTTGGGGCTCCGCTCCTTGTTGTTTGATGATCCTCCTTCAATTGACGTGTCCAACAACGCCATGGGGGTGAACTCAATTCGCAATATGCTCGAGGTTCATGATCGGGCCATCGCCTTGTGCCAAGGAGCTCACCTAGCCAATCTCAAGGCCTATACCCACAAATTCATCGGGTTTTTGACCGCCAAGTATGATGGAGATCTACGTAACCCCAGTGTATTAGAGGCTCAACATGCGGACCAAAAAATTTGGACAGTCATTGCCGAGCTCATGGAACGAGGATGGAACATGGATGATTGCTGACGAATTTACGTCATGACCTGCCAAGTCTCCTTCAGCCGCGACCTCGAGTGTTCAAGCCACTCCCATCACCATCTTCACAGACAGCTCCCCCTCGTGGGGATGGACCGAAAGGCAAAGGCCAAGGGAAGTCGAAGGGCAAGCAGAACTCCGGGAAATCCAAGGGCAAGGTTCAATGGCTCACGGAGATTCAACGGGATGGTGGCTTCAAGCAACTATGCATGCGATATCAGGTGGGCAAGTGTCAGAATCCCAACTGTGGCTTTCAGCATTTGTGTGTGTACCCAGTTGATGGAAAAGCCTGTGGCAAAAATCATGGGGCGATGTCCCACTTTGCCACCCCTCACTGACTCCCCGAAGGGGATCGTGATCCAGGTTTCACCATGCATGATCCATTCAATGAGGTTGACTCCGTGGAGACCGACCCAGTGCATGATGTGGACCCAGTTCAAGACTTCGCTCCGCCTATTGATAGTTTTACCCCGGGCCGTTTGCCCCAACCCGAGCAGGCGAATGCGGAAACAGATATCACTGCCACCATCCATGTCACAGCGGAACCCTTGGTTTCCTCTACGTCAATTCCACCCACCGTTTCAACTTCAGTTTTAAAAGCAGTTCCATCAGGCAAATTCTTTCTCGATGTATGTTCAGGTGTTACACGTCCGTTATCGACAGCTGTATTGGAACATGGCCATTCAGTTCTTTCTTTTGATGTTTTATTGGATTCTTCTATGGATATTTTATCAGATGCGGCCTATGAGGACTTATTGCGTGTTGCATCCAGTGGTCAGGTAGGTTATGGAGCGGCCAGCCCTTCCTGCTGTGAATACAGCAGACTCAAACTTCGAGATGATGACGGTCCCAAAGCTCTACGATCACCGGAACACTTGTCCGGCCTACCCAATCTTACACCCTGGGAACTGCAACGGGTCCAAGAGAGCTTTTTGATGCTCTCTCGCTGCGTTGAGGTCCTCACCCTGGTTTTTCAAACAGGAGGGCATGTCCACCTTGAACAACCCTTGAACGCCATGTCATGGTTAGAGAAGGTAGTACGCCAATTTCTGCAATTGATTGGGGCTTCCTGTATCAACGTGGCAGCTTGCGCCTACGAAATGGATGTTTACAAAGCTTGGATGTTTGCCTCGAGTTTTACAGGTCTTCGACCATTAGGCTGCATTTGTCAACATCCCCCTAATTCTCATATTCGTCTTCAAGGTCTCCGAGACGATTCTGGTGCTTTTGCCAGTAGGGCGACGGCACAATACCCACAGAAACTGGCACAGTTATTTGCAAATCTTGTGGCCCCGTTACTGGACACATCGGCGTTGGACCTACAATGGTCCTCTCTGGATGCCCTCATGCCCACCAAGCACCTGTCGGATTATCCATTTGCACAAATAGATGGGGGTGGAGCTTTTTCCCACCCGGACTGGAGTCAGGATAATCGTCAAGAACATGACTGGTTCCAGACGCTCCGTACTTCGTGGATGAACAGGATCATCTCTGAGCGATTGGATAAGATCCTACTGGCTCATGTGGCGTCGGGCAACCCTTCACCACCATTTTCGATGGAGATTCTGACCCCATTCAAGGATGATCTGGAGAAATTCTTGGAGGCACATGGACATCCACCAGATTGGTCAGTTCGACCACATCAGCCAATACATCTTCATATTTTACACTCTTTACAGAAGATTATGCACGACGTCGATTTTACATTATTACCCAGTCTATTAGAAGGTGTCCGAACCGGTTTTTCCACGGCGATTCCTCCGTCGGGTATTTTTCCACCCAAAGAACGTGCGGATATAGAACCCGATCCATTGTCAGCTCACCTCTCCAACTGGCAGAGCGCTGAAGAAGATCTACCATTAACACGAGAACTGGTTCAGGAGGAAATTGACAAGGGTTGGGTTTTTGCATATAAAGGTTCTTTGGAAGAAGCGCAACAAGAATATCTGGCCGGTGTTGCTATTGGAAAATTGGGAGTGGCTCAATCAGATAGTCGAGCCCCCCGATTAGTTGTGGACTCCAGCGTATGCGGCCTCAATGGTCGGTGTATCATTCCGGAGAGGTCCACCCTCCCGACGGCCAAGGAGGTGTTACGTAGCTACCCTCTACGTCAGTGTCAGAGGAATCTGATGGGCTTCTCTTTAGACGTTAAAGCAGCTCATAAAAGAATAGTTCTACATCCAGACGAATGCGGACTGGTTGGCTTTTCGCTAGAAGGGCAGCTTTTCTTCTATAGAGTTACCCCATTTGGTGCAGTTTTCTCTGCCTTTTGGTGGGCAAGACTGGGTGGACTCCTTCTCCGTATATTTCACCACTTGATCTGGTTGAGTCACGCTGGATTTTTATATGTGGATGACTTCTTATTTTTTATGGAAGCCAACATGATGCCGTTGTCGGCCACATTACTGTGTATTTTCTGCCAGCTTTTGGAAATTCCTATCAGCTGGAAGAAGACGGCCATGCACTCTTCCATTGACTATATCGGCTGGAAATTCAATTTCAATGCAGGTATTGTGACAATCCCCATTGAAAAGATCCTCAAACTCCGAGGGTACATCGAACATCTTGTTTCCCAGCCACGAACTACTCGTAAGTCTTTGGAGAAACTCATTGGCCTGGCAATGTGGATTACTCAATTATTTCCACTCATGCGGATCTGGATCCACTATTGGTACCACGACCTCTACACCATCCCGGCGACACATTTCAGTATTGATGCTGGTACATGGCCTCGCATTCATCAATATTTAACCCCTACTTTGACTTTTCATACAGCACCTTTGGGCTCCGCTATACCTATTTCAGGTAAGCTCATCGCAGTTCGACATCAAGCAGTATCCTCATTGGCGGATCTGACGTCATTACATATCAAAACAGAGAACAGGATTTGGTTACGGATTATCAATCCGAATTCCTCAAAACGCAAACTTCGTCCTGATTCTCTTCGAATTTTGAAGTTATTTGACCATTGGCTGATGGGTGTTTCTCCATCTCGACCAATGAGAGCGAAGCCATATTGGAATGGCATTGCGGCAGCTGATGCATGTGCATCGGGTTCCTACTGCCAAATTGGAGGTTTCATCCGTCATCATTCAGGCGTCCAATTTTGGTTTTCTGAAAAATTTTCCCATGCCGATTTTGACATTTTGTCAATTCATTTAGACCCAAATATGCAACGAAGCATTGCTTCATTTGAAACTTTAGCCCAAATTGCTTTAGTTTGGCTGGTGGCCACATCTTTTCCTGGTTTTCGTATTCCCATTTGCGTGAAATCTTTGAGCGACAATACGGGAGCAGAGAGCGTGAGCAACAAATTATTCACCACGACTCATCCTCTATGTCTCTTTGTCGAGATCCTCACGTGCCTGGCTTCGACAACGGGTATTGAATTGGATGTGAGCCATATTCCTGGCGCGGACAATGTCATAGCGGATGATCTGAGCCGATGGGATTTTTCCACTCCCATTCCACATGATTTTCAAGCAAGTGAAAGGATTCATCTTTCACTCAATCAATTATTTCGTTGTTCACCTCACCCAACATTGCATCCTCCTGATTCGAAACTCCTTTGGAAACTCCCACATCCTCTTGCGATGTGATCTGCTGGAATGGTTCTCACTTCTGGTTTGGGCGTGTTTGGGCGATAACCATTATACCAGATAGTTGTTGTTTGGGTTGTTGATGCCATCTGGTCAAATGGTTTCGATTGAAGTATGGTCGAATCCAAACCTGATCCAACGGTGGGACAAACCATCCAGCAGATGAAAAGGGAGTGCGTCTGAGATCAGAAGCGAGACATGGTCAAGCGGGAGGGTTGAAGTTTCAGTTGTGTTTTGTGTTTTTAGTTTGTTTGCGTTTCGTTTGCGGTTTCTAGATCTTATCTCAAACAAATGAAGGTCTTGAAGAACGTTTAATGTACTTGTTCATTGTGTTTTGCAAGGAACTTCTTTGTGTTTCTATTCCATTTTGGCTCAAGGACTTTCATTTGTGCGTTTACATTTTTCGTTTCCCTCCCTCCCTCACCTTGTTCTCAATTCTTTCCCAATGTTGTATCAACTGTTTGATCTCGCAGTTTCACCCTATTTCTTCTATTGGAGCTCCGAATTCTGTTTCGTCTATGACGCCTTTGTGCTCATATTTCATTACAGTGCGTGGCACTTCAGAGCGGAGTGACGTGATGTCACGTTCAATATTGTGACTGAATCTATGACAATGCACAATGGTGCATCGCTGATGTCATCTGACCCGAATGGGTTGTTGATGCCATCTGGTCAAATGGTTTCGATTGAAGTATGGTCGAATCCAAACCTGATCCAACGGTGGGACAAACCATCCAGCAGATGAAAAGGGAGTGCGTCTGAGATCAGAAGCGAGACATGGTCAAGCGGGAGGGTTGAAGTTTCAGTTGTGTTTTGTGTTTTTAGTTTGTTTGCGTTTCGTTTGCGGTTTCTAGATCTTATCTCAAACAAATGAAAGTCCTTGAAGAACTGGGACGTACTGCTAGCTTGCAAAAAGGAAGCGCATGTGTATGGGCCATCCCTTAGCAAACAGGACGATTGGAATGCAAGAGCTGGCACAGTAGCAGGCACTGCCCACACACAAGAATACCTGCTACTGCACATTGCCATGTTTCCCATAGGTGCACACTTCTGGTGCCGCGTCTTAGGAATGCCCAGTGCGAACCAATTGCAGGCGCAAATCATCAGTCGGGCCATGAAACTGTTGCGCTTCTGCCCTATCATCCCGGCACACAGGAAACCGCCGTGGCCCGGGTACCTACATGGCCTGCGGCTTTTCACTAAGTTACTAGTTGCACACCCGCTAGTCGGAGTATGTCTGCCCCCTGAAATCCGCCCAGTAGACCTTCTGAGATTAACAGGATACATGGTAGGCTCTATCTACATCCGAGGGCACAGCGCTGGCTCGTATGCAGGAATGGTACGGGAGACTATCCTCTCGGAATTCCCAGACATTGAAGGCAAAACCGTGCTAGCAGCCATTGCCCTGCCACCATCGCTGCTGACGACATACAACTTATCTCAGATGAGAGAGGTCCACCTCATTCACCATGCAGATGACAGACTTTGCGTATGGAACCCGTCGAACCATGACATTAAATTGCTTAGGCAACGGGGATTTGCAATTACGCATATCACAGGATGGAGAGCGTACCTTGGCACTGCACAACACAACTACTCGCATTGGACACGAGTCGCCCTCCCTGAAGGACGACCAGATATGGAGCAGTTAGAAGGTACCCCTGGAGTGCTCCCCTTCGAAGTGTACTCACAGGCTCCCCTCCGTCTCATCTCATGGTGCAGTTTTGAATTCCCAAGAACAGCCAGAAAACTCCTGCGCGAATTAGCTGAGATGTGCGAGCTACCTGAAACCACGACACAGGCACTTGTCACCCACATTGCTGCCCATAACTCGGAGGTCAAAACTGAGCAAGAGGCAACCCAATACTTAGCCACGTTGGCAACAGTCACCATCTCCTCAAGGACCAAGTTGCTCAACTATACCACCATGGTACAACATTTCCTTGGCACCTTGCAATTGCCCATGGCTGTCTACATGTTAGATTATTATTTGCCCATGCTCAGCCCCAATGAAGGCTATAATGAAACAGGGTTAACAATGCAAAGTGCAGGACCTGTCCGGCAACCATTGCAACCCATCGCCCTTGAATTTCTCTTCAAAGGTAGCGAGTTTGGACACTGGAAAGCCAAAGGCGGACAAGATGCATTCGCGTTCCGACATCCAAGCCTGGGTAAAACTGAAGTGTTCAGCCTACTCGCCAGCGATGCGCACCATCACAAAGTCAGCCCCATTGGCACGGGTAGACTTATTGCCATGGTAGGTACAGCAGAAGCACCAGCTGATGACGGAGATGACCTTCAAATCCTGTTTGGCTTGGTCCTAGCCATCACGCCGCGCGCATCCAAAAAAAAGGATGAGCTAGCTGCCTCACGCATATATAGACAGTGCAACCCCAAATTCATCGAAGTTGCTTTCCTTTCAGGACCAGCCATTGAATTTTTTGCAAAGGAACAACTCGAAGCCCTCCAAGACTGGTATAGTGCCTCCGGCCCGCACCTGGACCCCATTGATGCGACCGTCCAGGGACAGAAAAGCCCGGTCCCAAAGACCTTCTTCCTACATACAATGTGGATGTTCGGATGTACTAAGCCTACCCGAGAGCTTACCGCTGTCGCGCAAACCTCTCCGTGCAGATACCACCTGGGATTAGGTATCTATAATGTACAAACGGCAGTGGAAGGAATGGAGGGCAACAAAAGATCACATTTCTTGCATTTGTGCGGCCAGTTGCTACGTCTAGTGCTAATTCCATGTCACGTAGAGGGCGAGCTTCACCCCTGGACCCGCTCCACGGCACTATCCTTTGCCGCTGAGATTGACGGACATGTTAAAGGCACACTCTGCGCAGTGACAATGGCGTTGCTCACCAATCGGCTAGATCTGTGTATCCAAGGGCTTTTCGGAGCAGGCAAGTCGAAATCGATGGCAATCCTCATCCTGGCCTTGATTGAAATCGACAATACCGACAGCCTCAAAATATTGTTCATTTGTAAAGAGAACTCCGGCACTAGATCCTTTGCTGACCTCCTCCTATGGCTCGATCCCCCGTCGGCGGTGTTTGGGCGCATAGGTAGGCTGGTGGGAGACCAAGAGCGCAACAAAAGCAGTTACTCCCACACGAAATTTGATATCCACCCGAGAGAAAGAAGGCAAATGCTGAACAAGTGTCAGTTAATTTTAGCCACCGGGGGAACGGTAGCCCAGGATCTTACCATGCAATGGTCCACAATGGGTGGCTTTATGCAAGAGCTCTCCCTCCTGGTCATTGATGAAGGCCAGCAATATGGTACTGACCGAGAAATTGCAGTCATTAGCCTGCTGAGACAGCAACCCCTGGTCTTGTGGACAGGAGACTCTGAGCAGACACCCGGCGGCATTGATCGTGCAGCCCGCAACGCAAAACGATCACGACAGCTCCTGTTGGCCAAGAAGCATGGGCTGCGAAGCGACCGCAATTATTATATGCCAGCTAACCTTGCCGATGCAATGATCCGACTGCTGGACGGTTCGGCCAATGAAGGTCTAGCGGCTCTTAGTCAAATCCTCAAACGAGGCCAGCCCACGTTAGGTCAGCTATGGACAAGTCACCTCTCGCCGCAGGATGCGGAAGACCTCAGGGCAGCCAACATTGTTCTTCCAGGGCTTAGAGGCCAATTTGAAGCCGCCCAGCCAAATATGCAACGGCACTCCCGATTTGTGGACTCAGAACTGCTGGCAGGTACCGCTATTAATTTTCCACCGTCCCTCGTGCGCCTTGCCTGGATCTTGCAGCATGCCGCTACTCTCCTACCCATGGCTGGAGACATACAAGCAGTTTTAAACTCCCAGACCGCCGGAGTGAGTGACATCCATGCTTGGGGGTTAATGCTTCCCTCCAGCTCTAGGGTTAGTCCTGTGACATACCATGCAGTGGTTGCAGTTAGATATCCTGATCTCTGCAGGCAGATCAATGGCCTATGGGAACTGGGAAGTTTTGCCTCGGGAGGACTTCCCGACAAGCCACCAGGGTTCCAATTAGTGCTTTGGGATACGAATGCTAGGATTAACGGGTTGGTAGCGACAGATTTAGAGACTCTTGTGTCAGAGGTGCTCACCCCCTTCCCTCACAATGCTGGATTTGCAGACGGGCTTTTTACTATGACCACCGCAACTGATCACAAGAACAACTTGAATCGCTCCGTGCTCAAAAGGGATTATGTTCGCCCCCTGCGTGTCGAAACAATAGCCAATTCAGCAGGAGGAACAGCACAGGTATCAATCGTAGCTCAGCCCAGTATTGGATTTCTCAACACTAAATACTACTCCAATGGCTCTCCTACAGAAGATACTGAAGACTGCCTTGGCAGAATCACTGTGGGGGTCACCCGGTCCAAATCCTTAACAGTGCTAGTCTCTCCGCTGGACATGATGGGGCTCATGGGCATGGCGCAGGTGATTGCCACAATTGCATACGGCATCCGGGGCCTCCGGAGAGGAGAAACGACGTGGAGGTGGCCAGACTTTGACCCTGACCCGGTTCAAGAGAATCTCGCACAGTTAAGCCGATGGTCACTGAATTCAGCACCAACCTGGGAGTTCCCTCCCCTTGCAATCGCCAATCAATACTACGACCAGCAAGCTGACGAAGTGAAGCGAGCGAGATATCGTCTGATATTGGCGCGAGGGTCAGACCTACGATGGCTAAACAGGGAGCGCCTCCAAGAAGTTGAAGCAGGTTTACGAACTCAACACAAGTGGCTCCCCGAGCAAGATCTCCCCTTCTCTGAAGTTGTCCTATATGCCTACGCTGCTGATCGCACACCCTCTCCCACCTACGTGTCCCTACCCTCAGGACTGTACAAAGCACGCACCGGGCACATAGTAGCACAGTCGGGCCCAGAACAGGAGATCCTGTCCCTGCCTGGCATATACTTCTTTGATGGATGGCGATTACACCCGAAGTTACCAATCCCAGACCACTTGCCGCGCGCAACAGAAGCGCCAGTCCAAGGTACCGCTC